AGAGAGAGAGAGAGAGAGAGAGAAAGATGTTATTCTACACCCTTTGCTATTCTTACACCATATACAACTCTCATCTCAACCATTCAATTTTTAATCAATTAATTGTTTCCTAATATAAAGTATTAATCATAATTAATAAACTCTATTCATATTCCATAAATATTCAAATCATAATAAATGAACTCCAATCATTTCTATAAATATCTCAATTAATTGGGTTGCAAAGATTGTACAAATACACAAGGTTGTAAAAGAAATATACCCTATATATATATATATATATATATTTATAAGTTGACTAGTTTTATAATGTAAAATATTAATTAAATTATTGCTATAAATTGATTAGTACAAAAATAGTATGATGAGACTAATTAAAACCCAACAAGATCTAAATAAGCTTATGCTATTTAAGAATCAACAAAAGCGGCTTTCGATTTTAAAAAGGAAAAGAATAAACGTGTGCGGGGGTTCAGTTTAAGTAGGGTATTACCCAATCTTAGACCGTTGGATTAAATACTAGTTTTGTAAGATCTGCGTTGAATTTTGAAGACCATAAAGTAAACCTAGAATCCCCGACATTGATGAAGCCACCGACCTCTACACGTGCGCTATTAAACTCAAGTGTTGGTTCCAGTAGTAACCATACTTGTAATAAATGATCTTCAACACTTTTTACTTAATTACAATATTTATTAAATATTATCCTAGTTTATTTATTAATAAATATTTTATGTCAGGTATTCATTAAATTAGAACGATACTTTTATAATGTAATAAAATACATCTCGATTTTAATGTTTCAATTTATTTAATATTTAATTATTATTTTAAATATATTTTAGACTTGTTATATTTAAAATAAGATATTTATTCGGTATTTGATAATGTGCAGTTAGTTACACGAATTCAAACATGTAGCTTTAGTAAGTTATACATACACAAATTACTTGTAATCTTGAATTTTAAGTAATATTTATCGACAAAAAGTATTTAATGCATAAAAATGGTTTTTGAGTGTTTTTGTCAAAACCAAGTGATCAACACATCACTGTTATCACATGATAAAAGAGTTCTTACAATTTTTTTTTTTTTAAAAAGGTATACGTTTGAACCTTCAAAAAAGAAACCTAAATGGTTCATGGTTGTTAGAATGTGAGACAACATGGACTGCAGATGGTACAAGTAAACGATACATGGAAAGCGAGTTCTCACCGTTCCTCGTGTATATCCAGATTTATACCATTATCGTAAAGGGAAGGTATTGATTTGCTGTGATGATTTCAAATCAGACACCAATTTATGATCCTCTGATGTAAAAATCAAAGGAAATCTGCAGAGATTGTGGTTTTGTTTTGATCTATATACAAATCGGAACAAGAATTTTAACATATTATCAGCGCATCAAAACATTATCAGGCTGCTTTCATCCTAACAGATTTTTGAGTTTTTTTCTCTGATTTAATGGTTAAAATCTGATCTAGAAGAACAAAAGAAGAAATGTAGACAGTGAAAACCTCTGATTACGCAACTTCCGGCGGAGGAAAATTGAGATCGAGATCGAGATTTACCGATTTCTCTTGTTTTGGACGCTCGGAAGAATAACTGAAATTGTTAACCGGTGAAGAATCGGAGTCGCTCTGAGCGAGGCAACCAGCACCGATGCTCAGATGAGGATCGCGTACGATAGATCTGTCCGATCTGAAGATATTGAAACGGTTATGGATGTTATTGTTGTTGATATTGACATTCATCTGTGAATGGAACAGGAACAGCGAACGAGCCATCGGAAATCCAACAGGATAGTGCGAGAGGCTAAGATCAAGTGCTTCAGGCGGAAGCGGAAGCGGAGCCGCAGCAGCGATCGGCGCTACCGAGTTAGTCGACTCAACGATGCTGCTACTCTCGCTAGGACTCCGCGTCACAAGCTTCGTTCCACCGCTGACGGCGGTCGGAAGCAACAAATCCGTAGGGAAAGGGAAGTTAGTCTTAGCTTTAGCGCCACGGAACTGACGAGCGGCAGAATCGTAAGCCTGAGCCGCCTCCTCGGCAGTATCGAAAGTACCTAACCAAACACGGCTTTTCTTGCCGGGATCTCTGATCTCCGCCGCATAACGTCCCCACGGGCGCTTACGAACACCACGATAGCGAGTCTCTTTGCCGCCATTGCCGGCGGCGGTGGTGGCGTCAAGTTTATCGCGAGGAGCCATGGGTAACGAGAAAAAAAGGGAAGGGAGATGAGGTTGGTTTATGTAGTCGGGGGCGCGTGTGTGTGACATATTTGGCTCCTACTCCGCGGCCTAGGGAACAGCTTTTACAACCCACCCAAACTTTACATGTGAACATATATTTAGAATGACAAACACTAATTTTCATTTCAAGGACTCCAACTATCCTAATTTACATTTTCTTCACAGCAATCATTGTACTTACTGGTGTTAAAGAAAACCGCTGAACCGCTCAAACCGATCGAATTAAGTCAAACTGGATCGCTTTTGCCGGTTTTATGGTATGGCGTTCCGTTCCGAACTGAAAATAGCCAAACCTGCCCAAACTAGATCACGAACACCCTAATCATACTTATTTTTGATTTGATTCTGGTCTCAAAACCATATACATATTTTAAAGTTAGATAAATCGGTCTCCTTCTGATAACTGACTGCTTGTTTTCTTTACAGTTTGATCATCAAACTCATCTCACAATATACACAGTATGTTCTCATTCAAAGCTCTTGTAGCTTTTCCACTCCTGGTAAGAACTTTACTTTTTCATAAGTTTAGTAATCAGTAATGTAGCAACCCCTTTTTTGTAGAGAGTGTTGTGTCGTTCCTTGGCCTTTTTTGTGTCTTTGCTTGCCTTTTGTTTGTTTCTTTTTTGGTTAACCATAAGTGTCTAGATAACCTTGTGCGCACCTCAACTAAGCCCATGTCGCTTTGCATGACTCGAACCGATGACCTCTGAGGAGGATGCTCATGCACAAGTTCAGGGTTTTTGTTTGTGTTTAGGTTTATGCACCTTGTAGAATCCGTATACTATTTTCTTGGTTTTATATTGTAACTATCTTTCAAAACATTTTATCAAAGTAAAGGTTGATAAATAGTTTGTAATAATTTTATGAAACCGGTTAAGAAGAATTAAGATAACAGAATCTACAAATAATTTCAAAATGCAGTTTTTGTCATGTTATTGCTTATAAACCGTTTGTTTGGTTATATGTATATTTTAATCCATAATAAATATGTAAAACTATAACTTCATATGTTTGTTAACCAAATATTTATTGTTTTTTAAAGGGTAAATTGCATGAAAAAATAATGTATTTTAACTTGATTCTTATTTTGGGTAACGTACTTTCAAAACTTCTATTTTGGTATCTAAGATATAAAGTTTTAAACATTTAAGTACTTCAATAACCGGTTGAAACATAAAACAATTATCATGTTGATGTAACGAGTAATGTGGTGTCTGACTCAATATTATTTGCTGACATGGTTAGTAACATGAATTTTTTTTAATCTAAAATTAGTTTTCAACCGGTTATCCGGGTACTTAAATGTTTAAAACTTTACATCTTAGATACTAAAATGAAAGTTTTGAAAGTATGTTACCCAAAATATGAATCAAATTACTTTTTCATGAATTTTTTTTAAATATTTAAAAATGTAAAAAATATAAAAATAAAGCATATAGGTTTTAGATGGACTTAAAATGAGATTTATTTTTGAATCATTCTTCAAAAAGGAAAAAAGTAGAAGTTCCAGGGTTAGAAAAGTAACAATTAGATTCCTTGAGGGGTAAAAAGCAAAATATAAAAAATGTGTGCGTGTCGACGACATATCCGTTCTGATTGCGTGGGAATTATGAACACATCACTGTGGGACCCGCTGCCTCTTGTTTCCAGACAACCGTCTTTATTTTGTTTATTACTATTTGCATTTTTTTAGTTCACATTAACTTTTAATTAATAAAAATATAAATAAAACATTATCTCGATAACAAGGTCCCATGTGCTTATTTTACAGGGTGAACATAATAAAAATTAAAAAAATTATTTGATGATAGACATGATAAGGATCAAAAATCTCACTATGAGTAAGATAAAATACTCTTATTTGATAAGCGTTTATTGGGTAAAAGACGTTTACCAAATATTCATTTTGATGGCATTAAAATGTTACCCAATAAAGTAAATAAGAACAGTGACTTCAACTGTTAAACTTTTGATAAATGGCCGCTTAGTTAGATAGATATATATATAAGGTACGAGATTGATTCAAGCAGAGTTGATTGTACGACGAGTTAATTTTGAAAGTAGTTAAGGTACAAACGTTTGAGTCATGTAAGTATAGACTTTTGGGTCTTATTCAGTTATTTAGTTTCGGACTTAATTTTAGGATTGATCAAGAACCAAGTAGGCTTAGGGTTGTTTGTCAATTGTTGATTGGTTTGATATAAAATTATTAAATGGTCAGAATAACTAAGAGGTTCTCATGATATAATGCAAAATAAAATATAATTGTTGGTAATTGTTTATAATGAAATTAGGGCGCTGAATGAGTGAATGGTTAAGGGATGTCCAAGATACAAAATTATTCAGATGGTTTTAAAACTATTAAGAGATAGACTTATTTTGTCAAACAAGATTCATCTCTTAATAATTCAGAGGCTGCCTCTTAATGAAACTATTAAAAGGTAAACAAACAACCTCTTAGTTAGAAGCGGAGTTGAAGCCTTGTGTGTCCATTTTTTGATTAATCAGTTTGAAGATCAATCATTGATCTGTCAAGGTAAAACTTCATTTAGATCTTGATTTAGGGGTCGTTTACTAAACACTTATATAGTAAGAACTTATCGGTAAAATTCAACACTATCACTTACTTACTGAATAAGATTTTAGTCTATTAAAACGACATTGTATGCAATAATTTACCCGGTAAGCGCTAACCGTGGTAAGAGTCATCGCACTCACTTACTGGGTAAGACTGTTGGTCCTTGCCTCGCTCTTACCAGGTAAGATTCTTGATCTTTACCATATTCATCCGGTAAGTTAATACGACTTGATAAGCGCTTACCCGGATAAGCGTTTGGTAAATGGCCCCTTAGTATTATAGAGTAACTACGGTTGAAGAATGACCAATCCCAGACTAAACACTTTTTTTTATAATCATTTTACACTTTTAGAACATTCATTAAAACATGTTAATTACTAAATTTTACAACTCCTAACAACTAGTTTGAGGGGTATTTTTGGAAATCAAATTGTCACACCATATAGTTCCCCATAAAGCAACACAATGGACAATTCTTCGCCTATTATAAACAGCCTAACGAAAAATCGTGTAAGAATAAGAGTTAGAAGTAAGAATCCTAAAAAGGGATTTGAACTTTTGATTACTTTTGAACCCAAAATAACCGATTAATTGCACTTTAAAAATGAATTGATCCAATGTATCTTATTAGTGTTGGTCTAATGGTTCTCTTAATTAGGATTGATCTAGAGGTGAAGATCTCTTCTTACCATAACTTTCATTCTCATCGGAACACAACCCTTTATATATTGGTTGTACAAATGTGATGGGTTGCATTTGAAACGTCCTATATATATATATAGGGTATATTTCTTTTACAACCTTGTGCATTTGTACAACCCTTACAACCCAATTAATTATAGAAATGATGGGAGTTCATTTATTATGATTTGAATATTTATGGAATATGAATAGAGTTCATTTATTATGATTTGAATATTTATGGAATATGAATATAGTTCATTAATTATGATTAATACTTTATATTAGGAAACAATTAATTGATTAAAAATTGAATGGTTGAGATGAGAGTTGTATAGGGTGTAGGAATGACAAAGGGTGTAGAATAACATCCCTCTCTCTCTCTCTCTCTCTATATATATATATATATATATATAAGTTGGTTATTATACAACCCTTGACATTTGTGCAACCAATACAACTCAATCTCARCCGTCCATTTCATTTGATTAATATGTGATTTCATAGAAGTTTTGATTGTTTCCTAGTATAAATTGTTAATCATAATTAATGAACCATATTCATCTTCCATAAATATTTAGATTATAATAAATGAACTCTCATCATTTCCATAAATATCTCAATTTATTGGGTTGCATTGGTTGTACAAATGCGATATGTTGTATTTGAACCCAACTCTCTCTCTCTATATATATATATACACAGAGAGAGAGAGAGAGAGAGAGATGACATTTCAAATTCAAACCATCACATTGTGTACAACCAATGCAACCCAATCAATTGAGATATTTATGAAAATGATGAGAGCTCATTCATTATGATTTGAATATTTAAGAAAGATGACTAAGATTCATTAATTATGATCAATATCTTATATTATGAAACAATCAAAACTTTTATGAAATCACATATTCATCAAATTAAATGAACGGTTGAGATTGAGTTATATTGGTTGTACAAATGTAAAGGGTTGCATAATAACTCATTTCTCTCTCTCTCTCTCTCTCTCTCTCTCTATATATATATATATATATGAAAAATGTTTTGTCTACATGTATAGGGTCATGTACCGCGATGTTGGTAGTACACTGTAAAGATGCATAGAGCTAGTTATACATGTATCGTAAAAGTACCTATATACTTTTCACGAACATATATTTACTATTGTACTTAATGAGAACATAGTTGATAGGGTGACCCCCACCGTGTTGATTCAGAAATGACATCTAACGTCTTTATGTTCATGCTGCAAGGTTCAATAATAATTGAACATCAGTTTTCGATTTCTTACGTTTAGAATTATATGCTCATGTTTCTGCATACGTTCAGATCACATGTTTATGAAACTACGTTAGTATCTTGAATGCCATGTTTTATACGGTAAAATGCTATGACAAGAAACCAGGAATCATGAACTCATTAAATAATAATGTTCGTCCTGGAATCAATTAAAGTCTAGCGTTATGTACTTAAGGATCGTTTACCAAATACTTACTTGGTAAGTGCTTATCGTTAAAATTCAAAACTATTATTTCCTTGTTGGGTAAGATTTTAGTCTACCAAAACGGCATCATATGCAACAATTTACCCGGTAAATGCTAACGATTGTAAGAGTCGTCGCCCTCACTTGCCGGGTAAGACTCTAGGTCTTTGTCCCACTCTTATCAAGTAAGATTCTTGGTCCTTACCATATTCGTCCGGTAAGGTAATGTAAGTTGGTAAGCGCTTACTCAGGTAAACGTTTGGTAAACAGCCCCATCACTCTCTCTCTACCCCTTCGGATTATAGGTAAGGTCGGCTTACATCATACCCTCCCTGAATGGCCCGTTTGTTAGTAGTTTAATGAGACTCACCACTTATTCGATAAGCTATACATGACTGTTTGGTAGCAACTTAATGATATAGAAAGTGACTTATTCGGTAAGCTTTTAGGGAGAGTTTCATGCAGAAAACCAAAGAAAATTCAAACATGCTCCTTCCAATTAAAAAACACGCTCCTTCCATCTATGAACAAAGCCTTCCAAACAAAAAGCTTCCCAATCCATACAGATTAATTCACACAGACAACTTTATCCATGCACGACTTAATGAATAACCAACCAAAAAGCCCCGAAGTCAACCAAAAAGCCCCGAAGTCTGGCTTGGTTTAATATTATATAAACACAACTTAGTTAATAGAGCATGGGGACAGGGAAGAAAGCAGTTTGCAATCACAAATTTACCATCAAACCAATCATAATTCCTCGATATAAAAAACGTAAAACGACAATTAGAACGATAGCGTGAACAATGAGTACGAATTCCGCTCAAAATTTCCTGCAAATACATAGTAATCTACAATGGCACATTAGGATGGCATCAAGCAGTGGCTGCAGGTGAAGCTGCAGGTGTGTACCAGCCATGGTGAATCTCGACAGCTTTCTTTCTTCTAGCAAGACGGGATTTCCTCCTAGCTCCGGTGTTCCTGTGCAACGTTCCAACCTGCACTGCTTTATCGATGACTGAATAAGCCTCTGCAATCAGTTTCTCGATACCAATAACTTCCTCCTGTTGTGCTTCGGATTTCTTTCTGAGTACATCCAACTCTTCCAAAACCTAGAGGTGCCACCATATCAACAGGTGAATAAGAGTTCCATTAATGGGTCGAAATCTTATTTAATGTCATCTTACTTCTAATGACTAATCTACAGCATTAAGCCGTCATTTGTGTTAGGGGATGTTTGGTTGGTTTTCCATTAAGTTATGTATCGATAAAGTTGTCTTTGTGGATTAATCTATCGGATTGATTGGGAAGGTTTTTGTTTGGCACAGTTTTTTCATAGATGGAAGGATCGTGTTTTTAAATTGGGGGCAGCAAGTTTTGAAAAAGTTTGGCTTTACTGAATAAGCCACTTTCTATATCATTAAGCCACTACCAAACAGTCATGTACAGCTACCCGAATAAGCTGTGATTCCCATTAAGCTCATTAAGTTGCTAACGTAGAGGCCCTTGGTTTGCTATGTCTTTTGCAAAATAGATGATCTCGTAATTGTATGTATAATTGGAATGGCTTAAAAAGAAGGCATTCATCAAAGCATTAATAGCTCTAGGGACTTTTTTCCACCTTTTCCCAATTATGCCCTTATATTTTTCAATTAACTTATCAACATGTTCTTTTAGGTCGTGTTATATGGTCATCTAGCTTTTCAGGTAGTTTGTCGAAAATAGGTGAGTGCCATGCTTAAACTTAATGCTCTACGAATTTTACTTCTCATCGTCTTTTTTAACACATGGAGTAAATTTGCATAGGATTTAAGGGGAAAGAAGAGAGCCTTATGAGAAAAGAGAGAACAGTTAAAAAAGAAGCATTGGTTGCATACTTCTGGTTAAAATTGTCAATTTTTGTTGGATAGAAACGCCCATTGCCAGCGTCACGTTGTATATCCCACTAGGAAGTAGGGCATGGGAACGGTATGATGTACACAGACAATACCTCTACCCACAGGGGTAGAGAGGCTGTTTCCGTGAAGACCCACGGCTTATGAAATAGTTTATCTGCACTAATACACGATAACATCCATTGCCGTTGCTCTAGTCCTACTTCAAAAGATGTATCAAGAAGAAACGATGCTTAATGAACGTTATATTGGTTTATAAACATTGTCCAGGTCCTACCACCCTGAGACACCACCATGATTAACTCATCATGCATGTAACCAAGCTGTGTCAAGTGATACAATCTTCCCTATTGGCATCATTCTCACATTCTGTACATGTTCAGTCAAGTGATACAATCTTCTATTCCCGATTAGCCACCCATCAAAACAAAAGCCTTTCTAGGCATCTCAAGACTCAAATGCCTCTAACCCACCCCAAAGGTCACTGGTTCGAGTCTCCTCAGTGCCAATGGGGATTTTCCCAACTGGTATCTTGAGGAGCCCATGGGATTAGTCAAGGTGGACGCTCGCCCTCACACCCATGGTTACCAAGAAAAATTCGTCCAAGCCGAATATTCAAAAAGGTTCATCTACACCAAATACTCTGATTGTTAAAATGCCATGATCATAATAAAAAATTGGGAAATCCCAGTCAATGGAGGATTTGCTCAGGCCAAAGAAACTATAACCAAATAAGGAGCTGTTTGATTGGTCTTTCATTGAGTCCTGAATGGATAAAGCTGTCTATGTGGATTAATTTGTCTGTATAGATTGGAAATGTTTTTGTTTGGGAGTGTTTTTTCATAGATAGAAGGAGCGTGTTTTTTTAATTACCAGGGACATGTTAGGAAAAAACTTGGCTTTATATATAAAGCTCCACCCTAGAAGCTTACGGAATAAGCCACTTTCTATATCATTAAACCACTAAAACAGTAATGTATGGCTGACCGAATAAGTTGCGAGTCTCATTAATTCATTAAGCTGCTAACGAACAAGCTCTAGGTTTTGTAAACAAACTCGATAAATCTTCAATCATACATACACCCTCCATTAATATACAGAAGTTTCACTTTGATTTTCTAGGCCTAAATCTAATGCTTATCCAACTCCAAAATATGGATTTTGTTCCAGCACCAATACCAGCATTATCCATATATGATACTTGTAATGAAAAACAAACAAATCCGATTGAAATTGAAGATCATAGAATGGTAGGTTGAGAAATGAAATTGAGTACAAAATGAGGTCGATGAGAAAAAACTGGATATGTAAGGTGTACCTTCTTCATCCGAGTTCTGACCTCAGATTTGCGTGCTTTATTATAGAGACGTCTCTTCTCCGCCTGACGAGCTCGCTTGGCAGCAGAATCAGGCTTCTTCGTCGCACCGGCTTCACACACGATTGAAATCGACCGACCTACTCGCTTCCCGTATATAGGGTTTACAGACGCTAATCCTGTAAATTCAATCGATCCACTTCAGTACCTTAAAATCAATGGAGGTAACTTCATCCCTACCCAAATTGAAACAGATAAAAGCGATAAATCTAATAGGAAGCGTGAAGAACACATACCAGTAGAGAAGGCGTTGAAGGAAGTGTTGGCGGAGGAGGTGAGAGGCTTGAATGCGGTGGCATAGGGGCGAGAAGAAGAAGAAGAAGAAGAAGAAGGAGAAGAAAGAGAGAGGGATTGAAACCTACAAGAGAGATAGAGACACTGAGCTGCTGCTGACGCCGCCATTGTTGAGAAACCCTTTCGTTTCTTGAAGATTTGTTTGCAGCTTTCTGCACTTGTAGTCTATCTTATCCACGATGAAGAAGAAGAAGAAGAGAGGATTTCATCCGAAGGCCTTCTTACCTTCGACTTAAATATTAAAAAAAGAAAAACATTTTTTTTAATATTTGTAAAATCTAATTTGTATTTTAAATTATATAAAATAAATTAGATGGATGATGCATTTTGCACGAGTAATTAAGTGATCAGAATAATTAAGAGACTCTTATGATATAATACAAAATGAAATATAATTGTTTGATAATTGTTTACAATGAAATGCTCAAGATGCAAAAATCATTTAGAGAACTTTAGAATCATTAAGAGGCCAAAAAATTTTGTCAAACAAAATTCACTTATTAACGATTCAGAGATTGTCTCTAAATGAAACTATTAAGAGATAAACAAACAACTCATAAATTATAAAAACAGACAATAACAATAACCAAAGAAAAGGTATTGGCCTATTGGGACCTAATCGTATGGATGATGGACCGTAACTTAGATTAGATGGGCCTTATACTTTTCGAGATTTAGGACGGGTTTGGGTGGAGGGATTTAAACCCAACACGAAACTTACAATCCTACTTAAATTGCGGTCTTCGGGTTTTAATTAAAATCGGATCTCGATTTAACCCATAAAATTCGGTTTGAATGGGTTAATTCGGGTTTTGCTCACCCCTAGCCACAACAGGCTTTTGGCAGTGCCTGGATTCGATCCTGTGACACAACCCAAGTGGTTGAGTTTATTGGTATTTTACGGGGTTTTATTGAATTTTTTTAATAATCGGTTAATAAAGGTAGTTTAATTATTTTTTATAATTTTTTTTATCAATTATCTATAAAGAAAATATAAATTCAATCTGGAATGAAATCCTACAAACCAACCACACCAAAATATGTTGAATCCTTTCATGAAATTCCATTCCTCAAAAGTCAAAAACATTATATTAGACCAAATGCCCTGTAATATTTTATAAGCATAGGCCCGGTCTAAAAAATTAGACCGGGCCTTGTACATCTCTACCTTCTGCTTGATCTTCCCCTTTTCCACTGTTGGCTCATCGTCCTTACGTCTTCTACTCGCTCTCTTGTGCCTCTAAATTACGGTTTATCACATCGTTTGTGTTTTGTGAGCATATTAGGATTGGTGATTTGCCCCAACCCGGTGGGGAACCCAGCTCACCCGACCCGAAAGGAGACGAAGATTCCCAGCTAAAACGGATCCCATGGTTAGGGAATCCCGGTAGACTCAAACCAAGGCCAGGGCTGTTACTCAAACCGGGGTGGGGCCAGGGATCCTCGGTAGACTCAAAATCTCGGATATTTTTCATAGGATTTGACTAACATCCCGTCCCCACCAGGGACCAAGGCCGGGGCCTAGGGCTGTTACTAAAAACCGAGGCCAGGGATTACAAAACTCGTCCCATCTCCGCCCTGTTTCCATGCCTATTTCTGATCCAACTCGTGTTGATGATTTTTTTCAATGTTTTTTATTTAGGTTTTTTCTTATTAAGGTGTTAATTTTCCTTTGAAACAGAACACTGATATTCAATCACTTTTTTTGTTACGAATTTCATGGTGCTCAGGTTTTGTGAATCAATATCTGTTTGGCTGTAATCACTAATGAGATAATACGGAGACTTGAATAAAGGTATTTGATGAATTGTCCAAAATAAATATGGGTGATGTTTTGGATATCGTAGCAGTTTTTGGTAACCGTGAGTTTACAGGTCAGCTTAAGCTCACTAACTAATCACCCGTGTAATCACGAATGACCTGAAATAATCACAGATCAAACAATTTATTCAACGTAACAAATAAACAGTGATTTAATTTAATCTGTATGTGAATTAATTAAAAAAAAAACCAATCAATAATCTCTTAATTGTAGGAGTGCTTTTGCTAAATTGTTGTATTTCTATCATTTTTGCATCGTGGTCTCACCTCTTAGCCATTTATCTTCTAAAATCACCAAAATGTCACTTGGTCCGCAAGTTGGATGTCCATGTTTTGCAAATGGATCAAATTTATAAAAAAAAATTTATTCTAAAATTATAGATTTGGTCCCTGCACTTCATGGACCTGTTCAGAACTGTTTTTTTTTTACACTTTGACTCATCTGTAAAATGCAAACCTACCACTTGTAGACCAAGTGATTTTTTCGTAATTCCTGAAGAAAAATGGCTAAGAGATAAAACCATACAGTTAAAATGACTATTTTAATTAATTTTTCTATATTATAACTTGTAATATTACAATTTTTATGATTTTTCATTTCTTTAGCATATGATTGCATTTTCACATTTCTATTTTTAATTTTCTTAGGTCACCGAAAAAGCTTGTGTTAAATGTATTTTTATCTTGTTTAGGGAAAGTTAGAGACTGTTTATCAGTTGTTTAATGGTTTAGTGTAGAATGATTAAGAGACTCTTGTGATATAGTGTGAAATGAAATATAATTGTTTACAATGAGATTAAGACGTTGAATGGTTAACAAGGGGCTATGATACAAAATCATTCAGGGGGTTTTAGAACCATTAAAAGGCAGATTTTTTTTTGCCAAACAAGATTCATCTCTTAATTTAGAGGTTGCCTCTTAATAGAACTATTAAGAGGTAAACAAACAACCCTTTAGAAAATATTGAACTTTTCCCCATCGAGTAAAATAAATTATTTAATTTTTAGAAATAGACTGACTGCTTACGTATTTTTAACCCTAAATAGTTACATATAACCAACAATAAATATTTTAAAGTAGAAAAATAAAAAATAAAAACTTATATCGGTTCTACCCTTCCCCAACCCTTACATCATTCAAACACTCTCGCACTTAACGTTATCGCTCCACCTGCCATCCCAAACCGACCCACCGTCATCTGTTCGCTATCAATGCGCAACCCATCATCGCCACTGGCTTTTGCCATCAATCTCCCGTTTTTTAGTTTTATTTTGTTTTCCGATTCTTGTTCATTTTTTATCTATTCATGAGTACTTCATTACATTGTTGTAAAAAATGGGGAATCGAGAGACCAAAAAGAACAAAACATTTCATAAAGAGGGAGATAATGGCAGGGGTCAACGGAGGCGATGGGCTATGCTGTTAATTACGACGATATCTCGGATTGCGGGCCTTTGCAAAATATTGGTGGTCAAATTGCGGTAGCGCAATTAGCGGCGCAATTTACCGGACTTTTGACCGATATTTAGTGTAAATTTCGTTCGATATTAATGCAATTTCTGGTGGGTTTGGGCTTTATTTTCAGTCTTGGGCTTTCGATATTAACTAGCTTATTGTTAAGTTAGTCAAGGCTTTTTTGGGCTTTTAAGAACCAGGCTTCTGTTAAGGGAGCGTTGTAGGGATAATGATGATGATCCCGTTGGAGATGAAGGGGGAGAAGTGGAAGAGTCGGAAGCTAGCATAAACGAAGAATTGAACGTGTTAGATAATGTTGACTCAGATACTGAACCTATTGCTTGTGATTAGCTCGTTTATGAACATTTTTTCTATTTTGCAAATAATATGTTTAAGTAGGCATATATATATGTATGTATAATTATAAGAAATATTATATGCACTGCGATAACCGTTATTTCAAATATCGGTCTCGACCGCAATTTTGTATTTTCACCGCTATAACAGCATAGGCGATGGGCGGTATGGAAAACGGACGACGATGGGGCAACATCTGGTGATGAGGGGTAGTGATGACGTATGTTTTGGGAATAATAAAACTAATTTAGGTTCGTTTTTATTTTAATCTTTTTCTAATCGGTTATAAATAGTTTTTACGGAATAAAAATTATGTACAAATTTTAAAAAGTTGGATATTTATTTATTAAAAAAAACATTCAGAATTTAATCATAAATTCATTAATTAAAAAATAGTCTATGTGCTTAATTATTTAAAGCGAAAAAATCCCATCCACTTTTTTGGATTTTCCCCTTTTAATGTAAACAACACCAATTTGAAGGAATGAGAGATGATTCAAATATTATTCACAAAATATATAATTTATGAAAAATTAAAAAAAAATTAAAAAAATGATGAAATAAAAACAGGAAATTACGTTAAATGACAATCAACCGTTAGTTTGAGCTTTCGGGTTTTTTCCCCATTAACCTGTATATCTAAATCGCTATGTGAGTTGACTAATTTCAGGGCAACCACATGTTTTGCAGATAGTCTGGAGTCATTGCATTTGAACCTCCGTAAGTACAAGAGGATTTTTATTTCTCGTTCGATTTTAGAGGCAAACAATTTTGTTAGATCATAAAGGGAAAAAAAGAACAAAGTGAAATATTAGAGGGCTCACGAGACATAGATAATGCAAAGTATGAAAATCAAACAAGACGGACAAAACCAATCAAAGAAAAAAAGGAGACAAAACCCGAGTGGCAGTTGGGTGTCAAAAACGAACTGAAGTTTATCATTTTTTTTTATCCAAAACCAATCCTAAATGGAAAAAAAGAAGAAGCATGACCTTGGTGAAGATCTATACATAACTAACCGAAGTTCCCCGAAAGTCATGAAGTGAACGAGATGTTTAGGCATTTTGATGGTGACGAAGCCCAAAACGATGACAATGGTTGAATGTCAAAAACTATGTATGTATTTTTGTTCCAAAATTAAGAGAAAGAAAAGCCTACATACTCAAACATTTAAGGGGTGTTTGATTCACATAATGGAACTTGATGGAATTGGAATCCATTAAAGGAATTTGACTTTGAATCAATCGGAATGGAATTTGATGGAAATTGACCACGACAGTGGTGGAATGGTGGTTGAAAGTGGGTAGGTATGACGGCGACAATACTGGCATGGTGGTTAGTGGTGGATTGGAGTAAGGTGGGGTCGGGGTGAGTGGTAGTTGTAACAGCGAGAATAATGGTATGGTAGTGAGAGCTAGGTTAGGGACACGACAGTAACGGTAATAACATGGTCGTAATAGGGATATGTAGTGAGTGACCGGGGGGTGGGTGGGTGTGATGATCATGGGTATCTGACCAGCTTTCGCCCACCTACCACTCCCTCAGACGACTACAATAGTCTGATGTCATTCGTAGGTGAACCTTCATGACCACAAGGGTTT